TGCCTGGAAGGGGCATATCCCTCTGTTTTCAAACAGGATGCCTAATTGTCTCTGCACAAACAGGCAAAGCGGATTGTTTTGGTGGTTTGTAGTGCATTAAGCCCTTCTTATTTGTTGTGAGAGCCACCATACACAGAGTCAGAATAGATTTTTGTTAAATTTACCCTGGCGAAACACTTTTTCTCAAGAATCATCAGCTGTCCTTTCCAAAGGAGGTTATGTAAGATATAAATGAGGAATGCTGACTGAAGGGTGGGATAGCAGAGTAAAGGGCGTGAATTCTCTTGAGATCTGGGTCCAAATGGGGGCATTGCCTTTTTGTGACATGCTCACTTCAGAACTATGACCTGTAGGCTGCCACTTGCTTGTGGTGGGGGATATCAGCAGCTCTCTTGGTAATGTGTTTTTCTTCTCTTTTTTTTTTGTGGTACACAAGTATTGTCAGGGAACTAATCATTAGGATAGGTAAGTAAATTATACAGCAGAAATGCCTTAGAATGTAAGAAGCCTAAGGGAGAGAAAGAGGAAAGTTGCCCAAAGGGGCTTTAGGTTGCTGTTTTGACTGGCCAGGAAATCCGAAGGAAGAACTCCTGTCTTCTGGATATACAGACATATTTTATCTCTGTTTCTTCGCAGGCTAGTACTACCTGCCACAGATTACACATAACAACTCTTCAATGCCAAATAGGACAAAGAAAAAACTTGGACAAAACATGGCTTCTTTGTGACAAATCTTTTATTTCCTTCTTTTTCGTGTGGTAAGAGAGAGCTCATAAAAGACACCTTCATGCCCATTGCATGGGAGGACTTTGTTTCTATTGATACTGCTGTTGATTTCAGCCAGCAGAGGCACTGCTATTATCTTAATGTGTTTCACCCATGTGATTCCTAGAATCACCCTTTGTGAAAGGGTGGTCCAGCTTTAGGTGAGACTGCTTTGGTACTGCTGAACTGCTGTAGTATTGAGTTCAGCTCTGGTAGACCCCACACTGCCAGAACCGAGTACAGACGCATGCTAGTGGGGTGCCAGCCATCCTGGGGAGCAGGTACAACCCCGTGGAGCGGGGAGCTTGGCGCTCTGCAGCGTGGATCTGTCTTGCGTATGAAATACTCTTGCCCATACACTTCAAGTTTGAGGACCTATAATCCTTTCCTTGCCTAAGAAGTCGCTCTCTTGGCTATTTTAAACTTCTGGTGGAATTGAGACTATCTTTGAGAACTGTTTGGTGTCTTTCAGGTGTACGTGTATCACAGCAAATTTTGTAGGAACGGCAGGAAGCTGCGTGGTGGTTCCAAGTGCTGTTATAAGCATGCGAGATTGTGGAGTGGTAGCTCAAGTTACCTTTTTTGTTCCATGATTTCTAGAGAATTTGCATTGTACTCCCTGTTGTTGGCATTTTTAGGGTTAAGTTACTTGTCTAACATGTTTTGGAACTGATTTTGAAAGCTCTAGACAGGGAGATGAGGCAGGGCCAGCTGGAACAGAACATACAGGAAGGGCCCTACCAAACTGTCAGTGCCTTGGAAGGCAAAATCACCATGGTGCCAGATCTTTCAAATTTATTACATGTAATGTAGTTATGGCCTCTGCTGGAAAAATCTGTTGTCTTCATATCATCTGAGTGGAAAGAAACACATCACGCATGTGCCTGCTTGAACAGTGTCCTTGTATGTAAGGTAAGGTACATCATGTTCAGGCAGGAAAGCTGGGTTTTGGTCATAGCTGTTGTTCGTTAATATCTTTATGTCCCTTAGAACCATTATTTCTAACAGTCACTGTTCTAAGAGTGCCATTGTAATGGACATAATTTTTATGTATTACAGAAAAATAACTGAAAGCTGGCACAAAGTCACTTCAAGAAATGGAGGACTGAGATTAAGCTAGGTTCTGCAGCTCCTATGTCATGGCATTGCTGGAAGTATCCATGCCTGTGCAGCCCCCACACTCCATATGATTGATGGGTGCACAAGAAGCAGTTGATGGAAGGAGCTGTTTGCATGCCCTGCCATGTGATAGGGCCTTCTGGCTTCCTGGTCACATAATAGGCTTTTTAAGTCATGGTGGGGAGCATTTGAGATGAGTGGTCCTGCAGGGCTTTCTTCAGAGGTTGTGAACTCTGCCCAGGGCTTTTTTTTTTTTCACTGCTGCTCTCCTGGGGTTTTGGTAAAATGATGTTTATGGCAATCATTGAGTGAAAGAATCAAGCCCGTGAGCATAGGATCCGTATCCTCAAGGTCAGAGATCAGCGACTTAGTCCTCGAGGATGATCTGACCACGGATCTTGTTTTATTCAGCTGTACCCTCTGTCTGCTGGAAAACACAAACATGCATGTATATGTGATTTAGAAAAATCTATGGGGGGCGCTTGACGTTGACACATATTTAGATGGCCTGGCATTTTATAATATAAAATCTGTGACCTTTTGCCAAGGAACTCTTAAAACCTCCATTGTTTTCAGTAGGCTGTTGACATCTGATAGGGGAAGCACCATCAGAAAACAAAGCGCCTTTTTATGTTCTACTAAATTAGATTCAGCTTTGAAGGAGATATAAACTGTTAAAATGAACTAGTTCTTTTTTTTTTTCCCCCTGCCTTCATTCTTCAGGGAAATTCTGGCACACTACCAAAAAAATGTGCTGCCAGTGCTGGACCTGCTGTAACCGCTGTGGCAGTGAGGACAAGAACGGTGGTGTTAGGAGCTGTCGGAGAGCTGCTGTAGTGATGACTCTAGCAGAGGCTTGAAGAGCCCCGAGTGCTTCCTCCTGTCACGCCGCTCCGTGTGCTTTTATTTTGTTTTGCTTTGTCTTTTTTTTCCTCCAGGAAGTTGCCTGGGAGAGCAGTCTCTCCTGTCCCCAGCTACTTCCCAGCAAACCTGACTTTGCCAGTTGGCCTCTCTGCTGTCCCTGTTCCTTCTCTCCCAAGCTGTTTCCTGCCTCTTTGAAAATCCGCAGCTGTTAAGTAGGAAAGAGATGGGGCAAACTGCATGAGTATCTCTAGTCTACTGGAGAAGACTTCAAGGGGGTGCTTGCTGCAGCAGCAGGATTTGACCTGAATTCTGTCATTTAGGAAATTGCATAAATCCATCCACAGGGCTAGGAGCACGTCCTACCCTTTCTCACAGAGCTGAGTCAAACCACTTGCATTCAGCATTAGTGCTGTCTTCCTTCCACCACAGGGCAGGACTTACTGTTCATGTTGAAGCCTTGAGCACGGAGCTCAGCTGAATGGGGCTGGCGAGCAAGTCTGGCAGCAGTGCTGAGTGCCCAGGCCCAGCTGGGTGTGGAGAGAGGGGAGATGGCAAGGCATAACTGCACACCAGCAGCTGCACAGTTTGTTCTCTTTTAAAATCGTTATAGAGAGGAAAATGGTGATTTTTGATGGTTCTGAAGATTTCTAAAATAATTTGGAGATTTGCTTTTATCAAGAGCAAGTGTGTGGCAAAGCTAGAGAGCTGAACTAATTGGATTGGGTCAGATCCTGCTCTAAGGGAGAGTGTTCCTTTCCTCTCACCCCTGCTTCCAGCTGCCCTGGCACTCACCTGACCTTTTGAGCTCATTCAGGTCATAAAACCATCAAAATCTTCTTCTTTTTCTTTTTTTTTTTTGGGGGGGGTGCGTGTGTGTGTGTAATTTTCTACAAGATTGAGCTATATCAGTTTACCTACAGGTCAGAATAAAAAGGGACCAGGGTGGTGAGCTCAGGTGGGAGGGAAGAGAAAGTGGGGACAGCTCTTAACCAGCAGTGAGTTATGTAACTACACTGTGAAACAATCTGCCAACAAGGAGATCGTGGCGGAGATCTTTCATGGCAGTGCCCAAACCATATGCCACAAAGACAGCAAAAAGCACCCGATGGCCGAGCTCTGTAATAGGCAAGTCGGTACCAAGTGCACGATGTCCGTGCCAGACAGGGAATGTATTTTAGCTGTGCTTGGCAAAGCAGGAATCCAAAAGGGTCCAGCATGCTCAAGCTGTCGAGCTGCAGAGTGTTCAAGACGTAGTCACTGTTCATGTTTACGTTGGTGGTGTTCAAACTTTGTGTAACGTCAGATATTGTGCACTCAGTTGTTCTTGAGATAAATAGAAGATAGAGTATTGTCCTTGAACAATAGAACAATAAAAACAACATCTGTGAAGCAGTGTTCATTAAACATGACTATCTCCTTTTTAAGACTGAAGAATGGAGGCAGACGAACTATGGCTAGAATTGTTGCAAGCATTTTGTATGCAGACAGCTATGGAATACTTATCAAGTAGAGGCTTAATAGCTTTTTATTGCCTTACATATTTAAAGGCATTTTCAGTAAGTTTACTCACACATATGCAAACCTGGACACAAGACTTGCAAGCAAGGCACTTGGAAAATGAGCAATATACCTATTTGGCTGCATGTGCAAATGTTAATTGAAACAATTGGCCAAGCATAATATTAAGAATGCTGTGGCTATGGCAATGTCATAGAATCACAGTGTCCAGGAGTTGTGCTCATCATCTTTCTAACTGTGAAAGCATCCCTTTTCCATTTTTACTATCTTCCATTTGCTACTTACCTTAAAACTTCTTCAAGGAAGGAATGAGATTAAAATGAGGTTGATGGAAGCTGTTTTGCAAAGGAGATGGGAAAACTTCAGACATGCAACTTGTTTGGGAAAAGTACGTCTCGCTAGAATGAAGACTGCTCTGTATGTGTAGTTCACAAAGGAAGAAAGGAGATTTTACTTAAATCAAGGGACCAAAAAAAAAGCCAGTTTGTTTCTAAAACTGTTCTGGATATTGTTTTATTTCTTCAACTCTTGTGAGAAAACCTGGGTTCTGTGACCAGGAGAATCTGCATGCTCTAACCTGAGAGAGCTGGGTCATGTTACTGGCATTTTATACCTCTGACTGTAGGCTAGAAATGGAAATATTCTCACCTCTCTTCTTGCACTAAGCCAGTCCCCAAAAGTTGTGAAAAATGGATCACCAAAAATGATTTTTTTAAAAACTTGTGTCTTTGCAGCAATTTGGCAAAATCCTTGATGTAGAGATCATCTTTAATGAGCGTGGCTCCAAGGTAAGTCCTGTTTCTTTACCCACTTCTCTTGTTTTGATTGCATAAAGTAAAAGGCAGTTCATTGCCTGGAGAAATATACTCTGTAGAGATCGACAAGATTTAGTGTGGGGGGAGGGGCGGGAAGGGAAAAGCTATTTTGGGACTGTCTCCTGCTCCCTCTGATTCAAGACTCAGATGAGCAGGGTCATTTCTGGACCCTATGTCCAAATGCTCCTGGACAGTCCTGTCTAAAATGGGATCAGGTTCCCCAGCCCTTTTTACAAATAGGGAGCTACCTGAGCCTTCATACCAATTAGTTCTTATTGCACTGGCAATGGGGTGTCCTATGGGGAAGCAAAATAAGCTAAAGCAGCTTTGTGTGATAGGAGCTTAAAAACATCCAACCCCCAAACCACATTTTTAATTCCGTAGAGACTGTAATATTTCATTATGAAATATCTCAATATGGAAGGATATTTTTTAAACTCTCATTTTCAAAATTCTTGAGTATTTCTGAGATACTGACCTTTCATGTCTGAGATATTTGATAATTAATTAAAGAATCTTCATTTGTCCTGCCCTGCCCCACATGGACCTCTCCCCACTTAATTTACATTTGCACACCTATTTTTGTTCTAAAGATATGCTAAGAGGGAGGTTTTGCTGAGTGTTAATGGTAATTTATTACTGTAGAGATGAGATTTCAAATGTTGCTTAGGTCAAAGGCAGAGAGATTCAGTGATCTTTATCCTAATTGGCAATTGGTTCTCATCACATAACCAATATCACCACAATGACAAATTGATGTGATTCTCTCTCTGCCCAGGAGGTTCAGCACTGGAATAGCAGGGAGTTTTGCAGGTCAGGAGCGAGGTGCATTGCCAAAGCTCTATGGGGGAAGCTTGCACAGTGCATGTCTATACTCTGCTTGACTTAATCAATGCTAAGATTCCCATTTTCAATTAAAACAAAATTTCCCTACTACCCCCACACACGTGTGCACACATGTGTGCATGCACACATGAGATTTTGATGTTGCTATTCAGCTAAGCAGCTTCATTGTAGAGTCTATGCCTTTCCCTTGGATTTGAGGTTCACTGTCTTAAGGTGGCCTCTTTGCTTCAACATGTCTTATGGAGTATGTTCATGTTCAGAGCCCTCTGCAAATCCTCAGCGCTGTTCCCCAAGGTGGACTCTGAGGTTCTTCAGTCTCTGTATTATCTGGAAACCAGAAAGCAGTTGGTGTATAAACATAAGAAGTGAGATTTAGTACTTTTCCCTTTCCTTCAGTTGTGTCTAATACTTTTTTTTAAAAAAAAATAATCTGAAGAAATAGATGTCTCTATGTCTTAGTTTGAGGGTTTTACTTCCTTTTGGACAAGAATCTATATGCTTTACCAAAGCAATCAGATGAGTTTATAGAAATTTCTCCCTGCTCGAGCAGGGGCGTTGGACTGGACGATCCCTAGAGGTCCCTTCCAACCTCAACCATTCTGTGATTCTGTGACATTTATTCTTCTCCTTGCTGACAAATTTATAGGCCAGAACTATCTGTGAATTTCCTGATTTTAGTCATTTCTATTTGGCGTTGGGAATAGCCTCTGGTCTCCAGCAAATCTCTGCGTTTTGAAACTAATTGCATAAAGAACGACAAAAATAACTGTCCTGACAAAGACATGGAGCTCCATCCCTCATCCCCCTCTATTTCCGTGCTTTTCAGC